ATGGTCTTCTGCTACATTTCTCAAATTCCACATATGAGTGAAAACATGATACCTGCTTTTCTCTGACTGACTTATAATTTGCTAGTGTTTTGTTGAGGATTTTTGCCTAAGTCAAGGTTCTTGGCATGGGCCTCCATGGAATGTCACCGTTTCCAATGTAGGCAACCCAGGGAGGAAGGGGATGAGTGGCCAGTGTAGCCAATAGTGGTGCCCATGAGAACCTCATTGCCCAAGTGGAAACAGACAGTTAAAGAAATACCAGGGGTATTTGGCGGAGGCTCCAGTCCCCAGTAGACCTGGCAATGTTGAGAACCTGGGTGATCAATGAGATTGAGAGTCATGCTTGATGATCAACAGTGCCTTCTAGGCAGTACTCATCAGTGGATTCATACCAGGGAAAGAAGAAAAACATGGTTATACCACATGGCGGATCACAGAAGTTTTCAGGAGCTAATGGGATTCAACCTTTGGGGAACTTCATAAATATATTCAAGCAAAATCAGAACTCGTGGGGGCTCTGGAGGGCTGCCCCAGTAGGAAGAGTGAAAGCTAAGAAAACATTTATAATGTTTAAATGACTTCATTTTGAACTTACTATAGCCTTATTACAGACAAATTACAAATCTATTTCCAGAGGCTCTTTTGGGTATAACACCACTTAGCTCAGGCTTGACCCCTTTTCATTTAGCCCACACACTGTCCTCTGACCTGGAGGTCAGGAAATACAGGCCCGCCACACTACCACCCCCTAACACATATGAAGAAGTGTTAGGTGAAAAGCAGTAAACAGGAAATGTTTGCATCCGAAGATCAAAATGTATCATGTTCTTCACAGGTAGGTTTTCACACTAATCTGGTAAGTACATCTGTGTCTATTCTCAGAAATAAACACAAGAATTAGGTCCACAAAGTTTTCCTGTTAGCATCACATTGCCTCTGCTGGTAAAATAGAAGATGAGATATGCTGATGCCTAAGTCCGTTAGGGACGAGGATAATACGGCAGCAGGGAAGGCTGGGCCAATGGGTCCATGGTACAAACAATTGTAATGATGGGATAGGAAGATGAGGTGTTTTTTTTTTTTTTTTCAGATTTCCTGTCTTTTTGCAATCAGCAAAAAAAAACCACTTTTTTTTTTTTTACTCTTAAAAACTGAACTCACCACAAAAGCCATATTCTGAGCAACGCCTTTCTCAGGGCAGGAAGAGAGAGAACAGGAAGTGAAGTCGCTGTAAGGAAGGGGGTTCTGTGCGTGTGGCAGGAGTCTGGGGATGCGGATGATCCAGTGTGACAAACTGGTACACACTCAGTGCACTAGCCAAACAGAAACATTGAGAATAAGGAAAAAACACTTCCTTCAAAGCTACTTCTCTCACTCTGTAATCCAAAGACAGCTGGTGCATCTAGACACCCTTCAATACACCACTTTGATCCATTGCATCAGGGTCTCTCAGCCTCAATACTATTGACATATGGGGTCACATGGGGACTGTCCTATGTGTTGCAGGATGTTTAGCAGCATCCTTGGCCTCTACCTACTATGTGCCAGTAGCATCCCCCTGCTGTGACAACCAAAAACATCTCCAGAGATTACCAAGCCTACTTGTGGGGCAAAATCATTCCCAGTTGGGAGCCACCATGTGACACCCATGATATCTCACTCAACAGGGAGGATGAGCAATTCATGGCCAGCATTGAGTGGCGTTATTAAGACACATATGCTTGAGAGAGTCTTGGTGTCTTACCAGGTCTTAGATCCTTCAGGAATAAGGGTTTAGGTCGCACAACAGGCAAACACTGACACGAACAGCAATGAGAGCTGAGTGTGAGGGAAAGGAAGATGGATGGTGGAGGAGGAAGGATGTTGGTTGCAGCCCAAGACTAAATTCAGTGACAAGGGCTGCAGTTCAGTCTAGAAATCTTCCTCTTTTAGTCACCTCACAGAAAGAGAGACCCTGTGGAACCCCATAGGAACCGATCTCCAAACATACATGGAGATGTGGATCTGTATGGAGCATGGCAGCAGATGTGACAGCCAAGAAGGTGCACCAGTCTCGAAGGTCTCCCTCCAAGAAAATCTATTAGTCACCTGGGGCACATAGGTGGCTCAGTTAGTTAAGCATCCAGCTTCAGGTCATGATCTCACAGTCTGTGAGTTAGGGCCCCGCATTGGGCTCTCTGCTATCAGTGCAGAGCCTGCTTTGGATCCTCTGTCCTCCCCATCTGTCTCTGCCCCTCCTTAGCTTGCGCGCTCCCTTGCTCTTTCTCTCAAAAATAAGTAAACATTGGGGAACTTGGGTAGCTCAGTCAGTTATGCACCCACCTTTGGCTCAGGTCATGATCCATAGTTCGTGAGCTCAAGCCCCAGCTTCAGACTCCATGCTGACAGTGCAGAGCCTTCATGGATTTCTCTCTCTCTCCCTCTCTCTCTGCTCCTTGCTCACTAGCACTCTCTCTTCTCAAAACCAAGAAAATAATAAATAAATAAAATTTTAAATACAAAGAAACATTTTTCAAAAGAAAAGAAAATTTAATCAAGTAATCTTTGACAAGGAAGCTAAGAGTACTCAATGGGGAAAGGATAGTCTCTTTAATAAATAGTATTGGGACATTGGACAACCACATGCAAAAGAATGAAACTGGACTCTTATATTATTCAAAAATTAGCTCAATGTGAATTAAAGATGTAAGTTTAAGATTTGAAATGATAAAAACTACCAGAAGAAAACTCAGAGAAAACCCTCCTTGAGATTGGCCTTGGCAATAATTTTTTTGCACAGACAGCAAAAGCAAATATTGACAAGTGGGATAACCTTAACATAAAAAGCTTCTGCACAGCAAGAGAAACAATTAGCAAATTGAAAAAACAATGTACAGAATGGGAAAAGATATTTGCAAATGAGTACAAGGAACTCATACAATGCAATAGCAAAAACAAAAACAAAAACAAAAGCTGATTAAAAATGGGCAAAGCACCTAAACAGATATATTTCCAAAGAAGACATACAAATGGGCAGCAAGACCATGAAAAAGTGTTGGACATCACTCATCATCAGGGAAATGCAAATCAAAACCACAAAGGGAAGGAGGTACGCCTGGGTGGCTCAGTCGGTTAAGCATCAGACTTCGGCTCAGGTCGTGATCTCAGGTTTGTGAATTTGAGCCCCATATTAGGCTATGTACTGACAGCAAGGAGCCTGCTTGGGATTCTCTCTCCCTCTCTCTCTGCCTCTACCCAACTCATGTTCGCTCTCTCTCTTTCTCTCAAAATAAACTTTAAAAAAATAAGATAATAACAAATGTTGGCGAGAATGTGGAGAAAAGGAGCCCTGTACACTGTTGGTGGGAATATAAATTGGTGAAGCCATTCTGGAAAACAACATAGAAGTTCCTCAAGAAATTAAAAATAGGGGTGCTTGGCTGGCTAAGTCAGCAGGACATGTGACTCTTAATCTCAGTGTTGTGAGCTCACACCCCATGCTGGGTGTAGAGATTACTTAAGAATAAAATCTTTAAAAAATAAACTAAAAATAGAACTACGATATGATTCATCAATTCCACATTTGGATGTATATCCAAAGAAAATGATATCAGGATATTGAAGGATTTCTGCACCCCAAGTTTACTGCAGCATTATTCACAATAGCCAAGATATGGACACAGCCTAAGGATCTAACAACAGATGAATGGATAGGGGCACCTGAGTGGCTCAGTCGGTTAAGCATCCGACTTCGGCTCAGGTCATGATCTCACAGTCTGTGGGTTTGAGCTCCACACTGGGCTCTGTGCTGACAGCTTGGAGCCTGGAGCCTGCATCTCCCTCTCTCTCTCTCTCTGCCCCTCCTCTGCTTGCTCTCTCTCTTTCTCCCTCTCTCTCAAAAATAATAAACATTTTTTTAAAAATTAAAAAAAAAGAACAGAAGAGGAGAGGAGAGGAGGGGAGAGGGAAGAAATGAGAGGAAACTTCCATCCTGCTCCAAGGACAGCAGTTAGCTGACAGCCTCCAGCTATGACACTTTCAGGACCCACTTCAGCTTTGAGCCAAAGTCATGCCCTTCCCAGCCAGTCCCTACCCAAAGGCTGCCAGTGTCTGCCCAATGCAGGGTATCATCACTATGAGTTAGTCTTTGCCCTAGAACTCACTATTCGGATGTGCAGCTCTCCCTACCCAAGCAGCGCCTCCCCCCTTTCCTCCCACGTGTCAGCCCTGCATCACAGCGTGAAAGCTCTCTCAGACCTATTCTGCTCCATCTTTATTGTTTTGAGATATTTTTTATGTTTATTTCTTTATTTTAACAGAGACAGGGCGAGCAGGGGAGAGGCAGAAAGAGGGAGAGAGAGAGAGAATCCCAAGCAGATGCAGGGCTTGAACTCATGAAACCACAAGGTCACGACCTGAGCCGAAACCAAGAGTCAAATGCTTAACTGACTGAATCACCCAGGTGGCCCTCTCTTCCTCATTAGTCTTTAACTCCTGTGGCATCATCCCCTGTGCCCAGTAAACCTCTGACACTCCTAACTCTCAGCATGTGCCTCTCGGAAGAACCAGCATGGCAGTATAGTTGCGTGTCTCAGGAGTGGTCCTAAAGGAAAGTGGAGATGGGTGTTAGGTCCTTCTCCAGGAGAAAACACCCCATTGCTTAGCCCACTCATCCCCCACCTCGTGCAGCTCCAATGTCACCTAGTCAACCTATGGTGGCATACTGCGGTTTATGCCTTCAAACAGAAGGGAGGCTCTGGGAAGAGGCACAAAATGCCTTCTAGACTTTATTCCTCCCATGCTCCTGGTTCTAATTTATTTCTCCTTGCTCTAGTGAAATGCCCAGAGTGGAAGATTCCTGATCTGGCAGAGCCCTCATGAAGTGACTGTCACCTGCTCTAAGGTCCTCATGCACCCAAGATGCAAAAACCTCACCAGAGTCAAGGTATCAAAACATCTGTATTGCCTCTCCATGGAGGCATGCTCTGCCCCTGAGTCAGGAAAATAGAAATCAGAAGGTGTGAATTTATAGTATAATTCATCTTTATTATTTCACTCAGCTGAATATACTTATACATACATTTTCCAGAATTTGTCATATTCAGGGTTATGCAAAGTACAACAGTACTGATGGTGACGGTCCATGTTCTGATCAGTGGGTTAATCTTGAAGGCAACTGATAACTTTCCAAAAATAAAAGCATATGGATGACGTAAATCCTGTCCTCAAAGTATATAAAAAACAGTTAATATTGAAAGCATCTGACTACTCCTACCTGGAAGAAGACCCTATGATTCTCATTTCATATATTGCCTGCACCAGGTGGCCCTCAACATAATCTGCTCAGATGTCAGAGAACACCACCGTCCTGGAATGGAGAAGCAACTTTAAGTGTGGAGGCCACATGCCACACCAGCCTCAGACTACCTACCCTTGGACTTCCTGATGAGAGACAAAATAAGCCCTAGTGTGTTCAAGACATTATTATTTGAGTTCTCTGATCTTTACCCCAATTCTTAACCCTGAGGGATTAAAGAGAGAGAGAGAGAGAGGTGTAAAGGAATTTTCAACTTTTCTAGAGGCAATCTAGAATTCTACCTAGAATTTTGGAACTTTGCAACATTGTTCTTGGAACAAGAAGATCTTGGCAATTTTATCACATTTTGGATTTTTGTTCTACTCTATTTCACTGTAATGGTTAGCAATAAAATCTTTGGAAACCTCACAGACTCATGTTCATTTCCTAAGGGACAAGAAAGAAGAGTAGACTGGGGCCCACTTTCCACTCGGGCTTGGAATGAAGACAGCACTAAGGAATATCTGCCTCATGAGGAAAGGAATGTGCTGGCCCTGAGTCCTGCCCCAGTGGCAACAAGGCAGCTCAGGGGACCAGCAGGCCTGGCAAGCAGCCCTGGGCACCCGGAAGCCCATGGGATCCAGCTTGTCCACTTGGCCACGCCAGGAGATGGCTGGACACTGCTCATTGTTCTACCCTCCTGTGTCTGGATCCCCTGGTTCTTGGGTATTAGTCTGTATTCTGACCCCAGGCTGGCCTTGGCCTTGGTCACAGTGTCTGTCCTGACTCCAATCTATGTCCACAGGTGAGATGATTCTTGTGACTTAATTTTGACCCTCACTGGCCACCCAATCTCAGGAGCCTTTTTCCAGATTTCCCCACCTAATTTCTCCTTTCTCCTTTCTAATCCCCTGCCCCAGCCTGACGATGTATTCACCTACTAAGCGCTGAAGCAGTGCAAGGTAACCAGCATGTGCCTCTCAAGTCCTCCAAGTCATGGACCCTCCTCCCCTCCCACCAGCCCTATTTCCCACCTGTCTCCAACTGAGGGTGTCTCTAACTTAAAGAGACCCCACGCACATCAGCTACCTATGATATCTTTTAAATTTTTCAGTAGGCTTTTGGGATTATTCTTTTCCAGGGAATTTCTAATGACTTTGCTGACATTGTCCGATTGCCAATTCTCAAATAAGGGTACCCACGCCATCCGTGGCTCTTTACCAGCTCACTGGCCATTGTCAAAAGAACCGTTGCCTGGTTTTCCCTGGCTTGGCCAGTTTCTTTGTTATTAAAACCACACACTCGCCCCTCACACCTCTTAATTATGTTCTTAAGAGCTTTGTTATCTGTTTCCTGGAGGTAATCGTTGAGAGTCTCCCCTTCCAAGTCTTCCTTCCGAGTGAACAGCACAATTGTGTACTTCCAAACGTCCTCCCCAAAGATGGTCTCTAGTTTCTTCCCTGCCTTTTTGTCCTCCTCAGTGAAGCGTCCCACCTGGAACACCAAGACCAGAACCATGTTCCCTCTCTCACAGAACAAGCAATGTTTGACCTCCTCCTGCAAGATTGGAAGCTCCTTAGTGCTGGCCATCTGGCAGAGCAAGGGACTGTCCACAACCACAACCCTCCGCTCGCCCCACATCCTCCTGTCGCTCTGGGTCTTCTTGGTGTTCAGCTGTGCTCGTAACTGATCAGAGAAGGCATGCCTCCCGAGGATGGTGTTCCCAGTGGCGCTCTTCCCAGTGCCAATGCCCCCCACGAGGACAATGCTCAGCGTCTCTGTCAAAAGGAAAGCAGGAAAGATTCATGACCATGGGCGGGTCCATGTGCAACTTTCAAAGTGATGCCAGATGTCATAGCAGAGGATGCTCAGAGAGCACCATGGCGACCCCCTTACCTAGCAGCTCCATCCCCAAGTATGGTGGGGGGATGGCTTCTTCCTGTCAAGCACCCTGTGAACCCACAAGCACGATTTGGACCACTATCTCTGCCCAGTGCTCACCCATGACATGGCCACTATCCCTATCTCTAAACTTGCTCCCTTTTTCTGGTACCTTCTCTGACTTTCATGGGTGCCACCGGCTATATGGCCCATCACCTACTCAGATGCATCCAGGCTACACATCTCATCCCTTGGGCTTCTGTTCCTGCTGCAACTATGTCTTCCTATTGCCACCAGTGCTATAACTGCAGCAAAATCTCCTGGATGTATTTGAAAAATTATGCCATAGAACTGACTTTTCATGAAAAAGCAACTACATATCTTATCAACAGATTACTAGTTCCTTGATTCAGATCATGCTACAATTCATGTCTCATTAAAACCACATTAAACTGAATTGTGTCTTTCATCGAGGAGTCCAAAAGCACTTGGTGGCTATAACAGTGAACACACTCCCACTGTTTTGTGCGGCTATGATGGAGAACAGATTTCCCTCTATTCTTTTTTTTTTTAATGTTTTATTTATTTTTAGGAGAGAGAGAGAGACAGAGAGCGTGAGCAGGGGAGGGTCAGAGAGAGAGAGAGTCACACTCTGAAACAGGCTCCAGGCTCTGAGCTGGCAGTCAGCACAGAGCCCGACGCGGGGCTCGAACCCACGAACTGCGAGATCATGACCTAAGCGAAAGTCGGACGCTTAACCGACTAAGCCACCCAGGCGCCCCCAGATGTCCCTCTAAATGGAATGGCAGGTGTACAGAGCCCTTGCAGAATGTGCTAGTGGGGGCTCCTTATAACGTTGCACTTGACCTGTGATCTTTCTCTTCCACACTGCCTTTTTCCACAGTTCTCCTCAATTAGGCATTCTTGGTCAAGTTACCAATATCCACCCCGAAATGAAGAGTGAGGGAAGCCTAACCCCTGTGCTGTTTCTTCTAGGGGAAATTCTTGAACTACTGATCCTGAACCCACCATCTCATAGTGAGGCGTAAAGGCTGAATCTGAGATTAATCGTCCCACACTCCCACATTTGTCAGACTTCGGTCCCTGCTTCCATACCCTCAGAGGGTGGTTCCCAAGAACCTCAGTGATCTGGGCTGTAACCCACCTCCCACATTGTGTAGAGGCATGAACCCTCCATTTCTGTCATTGCTCCAGATTGCTAGGGTGCCCTCTGCAATGTCTTCCAGTTTCCTGCCAGCCAGCCAAACCCTGCCCATTCTCCAAAGCTCATTTCAATCTGGACTTCCTCCATGCAGCTTCTCCTAACTTTCCTGTACATCTTCTTCCAGAGGCTCCCGGCACCTGGCTTTCTATGACAAATATGAAAGGGGTCATTTGAGTCTGTGTTCTTCTCAGGTGAGGATGTTTGCTATGGGACAAATGGGATGAGTCATGCTGGCCTGGAAGAATCTCAGCTTGGGGCAATAGAGCTTGTAGCACAGAGGGCATGGGGACTTCTGCTAAAGGAGCAGGTAGTGTGTTTGGGCTGAGAAACCATCCAGCTGGGCACCCGGGTGGTTCAGTCTGTTGAGCACTTAACTTCAGCTCAAGTCATGATCTCACGGTTTGTTAGTGCTAGCCCCACACTGGGCTCACTTCTGTCAATGAAAACCCCACTTAAGATTTTCTGTCCCCCTCTTTCCACACCTCCCCCCACTTGCAGTCTCTCAAAAATAAACAAACATTAAGAAAAAAACCCATCTAGCACCATGTTAGCATCACCCGTTGTGAGCATTCAGGCCTAATCCTTGTCCTCTTCTCTGTCAAATGACTTCCTCTCTCCAAAAAGAGAAGAGTAAAGAACCAAGAAGTCAAATGGTGCCTGGGTGGCTCAGTCGGTAGAGCATCCAACATCAGCTTAGGTCATGGTGTTGTGGTTCATGCGGTCGAGCTCCACATCGGACTTTTTGCTGTAAGCACAGAGCTCACTTTGGATCTTCTCTCTCCCTCTCGATCTGCCCCTTCCCGCACTCCCACACAAAAATAAATAAATAAACTTAAAAAAAGAAGGGTGCCTGGGTATGCTACTTGGGTAAGCATCCAACTTTTAATTTCAGTTTGAGTCATGATCTCAGAATTCCTGGGTACAAGCCCTGCACTGGATTCTGCACTGACAGTGTGGAGCCTACTTGGGATTCTCAACTCTCCCTCTCTGCCCCTCCCCTGCTTGCTCTATCTCTCCCGCACCTCTCTCTTTCACTTTCTCTCTCTCTCAAAATATATAAATAACCTTAAACAAAAAGAGAACCAAGAAGTCAAGAGAGGGAGAGAGGTGGAGTGGGCTTAAGAGAAAGAGAAGAGCAAATCAATTGCCCAGAACTATCTCATCACCAGCGCTGAGTCCTGAGCCCTAAGCCACAGATACACCATGGGGGAAACAAGAGATTGGAAAAAGCTCAACTCCTTCCCTCAACGTCTCCACCATCCCCTTGGAGAGATGGGATAAGGGTCAGGAAAGAAGAATTAAAGATCTAAGGTGTGGACAGCATGCAGGGGGAGGC